TGCAGGGCCGGCAGGGCCTTCTCGCACGCGTTCTTTTTGCGGCTGCCAGTGTCAGTCGCTGTTCTTTTGAAGCTGCCACTGCCCTCCTTTCTCGCACGCACAGTCCGCCCCTTCTTGAGGCTGCCACTGCCCGTCTTCTTGCGCAAATCGCCCGCGTTGTCCTGCCCGCCCGAGTCGCACTCCTCCTCTGGGCCCCCCTTTTCGCTCAGATGGACGAGGCGCTCGGCCTCAAGGCAGAATACGCACCTGAAGCGGCGCGATTTCATGTAGCTGCACACCAGGTCGAGGTCGAGGTCGAGGTTCTCGAGCTCGCAGTGGCGCACCACGTTTACCATCTCGACGCCGCCGTGAATGGCCACCTCGGTGGACACGGCGGCGGCCGCGGCCACGGTGGCGTCGTGCTCTATGGTCGCCTCCACCGCCTTCCCACATGCTGTCTCGCATGCCCGAGTCCCAGTGCAATCGCTAGTGATGTCGGGCTCCAGCTTCGCCCGTCGTTCCTCACATGCCCCGAACACTGCCGCAGTAGCTGGTCACGCTGGGCTCCATCTTCGCCTCCCCCCCGCCTTCCCTGGCCCCGCCGTGGCGACGAGGGGCGACGAGGGGTGGATAGCTACGTTGGGCTCCAACTTCGCCTCCGCCAGGCCGTCCAGTGTAGTACGTCCAGCTCCAGCTTCGCCATCCTCACGGCGGAGCTGTACCTTCGAATACTTAGCTAGATCGGGCTCCAGCGTCGCCTCCCTCTTTGCCAGGGCAGTCTGCTTCGGCTTGTCCGCGGCGTTCCCGTCACTGCGGCTGATGAAGTCGGGCTCACCTCTCCTCGTTCCTGGAGCAGCGCCAGAGCCCGCTGTCGCTGCTCGGCTTCCTCGCACGCCGCGAGGCCGACGTCGGGCGTGATGCCCTGGTCCCAGCACCAATCCACTATCCACCAAAATGCGGCAAGTAGTAGCTGGCAAGTAGTAGCTGATGACATTGGGCTCGTCCTTCGCCTTCCTCTAGCTTATGCTCACGGCGGCTGTTCGTCGCCCCCGCGTCGTGGCTGACGACGTTGGGCTCCTCCTTCGCCTTCCCGCTGTTCAGCGCCGTCGCACTGTCGCTGATGGCGTGGGGTTCGTTCTTCGCGTGTTTCTCGTACTGGCCTAGTCCCTCTCGAAGCTGCCACTGCCCGTCCTTCTCACACGCACAGGGTTGCTCTTCGTAAGGTTGCCACTGCCCTTCCTCCTCGCAGATCTCCGTCCACGGAAGGCCCTACCAGGATTGCCAGGGCGGCTGGTACTGGACCTCCAAATCCAGTTCGGCCTGGCGGCAGGTGGCAAGGCGGAGTCTGCGTGCGGCGCGTCGGCGGCTGCGGCTGAGCTTGGGGGGCATCTCTCCGTCATCGTTGGGCCCACGCCACTGCACAGCCTGTAGCATACTCACGCGCCGCCGCGGAGCATTCGCGCCGCGGCGCTGGGGGCGAGCCGCGACGGCACGGGCCGCACGTCGCCGCGGGGGCAACACGGCTGCGGGCCTCGCCGCGGAGCTACCTGGAGGAGGAGGAGGAGGAGGAGGAGGAGGAGGAGGAGGAGGAGGAGGAGGAGGAGGAGGAGGAGAAGCGTCAGCGGCAGCGTTGTGTGTTCGACCGTGGGGCCGTGCACACCTCCGACACTCACGCAAAAGGACTGCATGCTCTGAGCGCGGCCTCCCCTCCTCCCGCGCCCCATCCGCCTACCGCCGCGCCTGCTGCAGTGCCTCAATCCGCCTCAAAAGCGCCCCTCCGCCGCTCGAATGCTGCTTGAGTCAAGCGGCCGCAGGCCAAAAAGTGTTCGACTATGGGTCCCTTGATGCCCATCGGCCCTGAGCCGTCTTGGTCTTCGGCGGTCTTCGGCGGCCTTCGGCCGTTTACGGCTGCCTCCCGTGGACTCCGGTAGTTTCCGGCGGTCTTCGGCGCGAAAGCTGGATGGCTGCACTCAACAGGGGGTCCGCGATCGAACACCTGGACCCGTTGTCGTAGCGAGCAGTTGAAGGACGGTCGAGGCAGGCGGCGAGGCGAGATGGAGCGAAAGCGCAACTCGAAGGGAGCGAAAATGCGTCGACTTGACAGCTCGTGAACCCCGAACGCGGCTGCAGAATGCGCGAGGCTGGCAGACGAGGGCTCGACGTCACAAGGAGAAAGAACAGAATGGCACACGTAGTGGCTTCGCTCCCCTCCCAAACTACACACTCTCTCTCTGTCTCTCTCTCTCTCTCTCTCTATCCACAGGCCGACCCTCTTCGTCATCACCATCATCAGCAGCATCACAATCGCCATCATCATCATCATCATCATCATCATCATCGTCATCGTCATCATCGTCATCATCAACACCATCATCATCATCATCATCATCATCATCATCAGCATCATCATCAGCATCATCATCATCATCATCATCATCATCATCCATCATCATCATTATCATCATCATCATCATCATCATCATCATCATCATCATCATCATCATCATCATCATCATCCATCATCATCATCAATCATCATCATCATCATCATCATCATCATCATCATCATCGTCATCATCAACACCACCCCCACCACCATCATCACCATGACCATCACCATCACCATCACCATCACCATCACCACACCCATCATTATTATAATCATCACCACCACCACCATCATCGTCATCATCACCATCACCACCCCCACCAGCACCACAACCATCATTGTCATCGTCATCATCACCACAACCACCCCCACCATCATCATCATCATCATCATCATCATCATCATCATCATCATAATCATCATAATCATAACCATAATCATCATCAGCAGCAGCAGCATCATCGTCACCATCGACGTCACCATCATCATCAGCATCATCATCACCATCACCACCATCGTCATCATCACCAACAGCAGCAGAAGCATCATCATATTTGTCGTTGTCGTCAACATCATCATCATCATCATCATCATCATCATCATCATCATCATCATCAGCATCCCCATCATCATCATCATCATCATCATCATCATCATCATCGTCGTCATCGTCATCGTCATCATCATCGGCATCATCATCAGCATCATCATTACCATCAACATCATCAGCATCATCATCATCGTCTTCATCATCCTCCGAATCATCAGCATCTGCATCATAACCATCATCAGCATCATCAGCATCATCATCATCTTCATCATGTTCTTCCTCACTGTCACCATCATGACCATCATCATCAGCAGCAGCACCTTTATCGTATCAGAATCATCGTCAGCATCATCGTCAGCCATCAGTACCACCACTACCAGCAGCCATCAGCACCACCTCCATCAGCCATCAGCCATCATCATCATCATCAGCATCACATTTAGCAACATCCTAATCATCAGCATCATCGTCATCACCATCATCATCGTCATCATCGTCATCGTCCTCGTTGACGTCACCAGTGCCGTTGTCATCCTTATCACCGTCATTACCATCATCAGCACCATCGTCGTCATCATCAGCTGCAACATCATCATCATCATCATCATCATCATCATCATCATCATCATCCTCATCATCATCATCATCCGCCTCATCATCAACATCGTTATCGTCGTCATCATGATGATCATCATCGTCACCAGGATCATTTTCGTCGTCGTCGTGGTCATCGCCATCGCCATCGCCATCGTCATCGTCATCACCACTACCACCACCACCACCATCATCATCATCACTCTGGTCCGCTCCTTCCCCCCGCAGATCTGAAGCCGGAGCTGAAGCGCAGCCGCGGCGGGCGCTAGGCGGGCGGCGGGCCTTCAGGCTCCCAGGGCGGCTGCTGGACCTGGAGCGGCGACCATCCACCTCCTAATCCTCCCCTCCCTCCTTCCCCAGGTCGTCAAGCTCCTCCATCCCCCTCCTCCACCAGCTTATTTTTTGCGCTGCGCGGACTTACAACAAAGCTGGAGCGTCTGAGCAGCGAGAATTCCGAAACGTGAAGACTGACTTGGGCGAGGTGGCCTGAACAATACACTGAATAACCTAAGTCAGCGCAGCAGGTGAGAAGCGTGGCACGGAAAACCGGAAAAATGAAAAAGTTGCAGCCCCGCAAGGGCAGAAAGTAGCAGCCCCGCGAGGACATCCGCCCCACCCTCCTACCCTGGGTCCTCCCCATCCTCCATACCCCTTTGAACCTCTTGAACGGGTTTCGAGTTTATGGGGTCGGAGGATCGCGCCGCAACCCGATGCATCGCCGATGGATCGGCAATGTATCGGCGATGACGGTGGATAAGATCGGACTATACATCGAGCCGCATCGTCAAGCTCATCTTCCTGCAGCACTGTAGCACTGAATCCAGACGGCCGTGCAAGCGCCGCACATATCGGCCTTACAGGGGATGATGCGGCCCAGCTCCTCCGACTTCTCCCCATCCTTCCCCCCTCCCTCCCTCACCTCCTTCTCTTCCTCTCCTCCTCCCCCTCCCTCTGCTCCTGGTAAGGCCGCAGCGCGGGTCTATCGTCGACTGAAGCGTTTGCGCCCGCACTGAGCTTCTCCTCCCGCAAGACGTGCGTGCACGGACAGACGGCCCTGCTCAGCCTACTGACAGTGACGAATCAGTGCCCGTGGTGCAGGAGCACCCTCAGTACGAGGGATACTGCCTTGCAACATGTCTATGCGGCCTGCGAAGACAACAAAATCTGCTACGCCACTTTCAGTCCGTGGAGACACGAGGTAACTGCACCGTCTTCGCTGGAGTGCCCCGTATGCGAAGTCGTGGCCCAAGGTCTTGACACCTCTCAAGCACACGCATGCAGTCACCACGCGGGGCCGACAGGTGAGCGACGACCTCGCGCTGATGGCGGACTGGAGGCTCACGCCGGCCCCGCCTGCGAGCAGCGGAGGGGGAGGAGCCGCTGGGGGGGGGGGGGCAAGGGCGACCAGGGGGGGGGGAGCAGGCGCCGAAGATCCTGAGGGTGAGGGGAGGAGGACGAGGACCAGGCGCACGGCCGCAACGAGACCAGGTCGAACCTGGTGGACGCGGTGATCACGCTGCAGAAGATGGGGCTGCGCCAGGGCCAACGCAGCAGAGAGCACGAGCACGTGTTGTGCCAGTTGTTACTGCCGAAGGTGAACTCGGTGAGCCAGGCGGGCCTGCAGGCGGGAGCGACGCGCAACAGAGAGGTCCAGCTGCGAGGACGAGGGCATGGGCTTGGAGCTCCGTTCCCACATGTGGTCGCGGCGGTAGTGGACGCGCTGGAACGGTGAGCCAGGACGGAGCCAAGAAAGTGCTGGGAGAGTACAAGGAGCTGATCAACAGCCCGGCGGGCAGAACAGCGGTGAAGAAGCTGTTCGGCTGCTTCAGGGTGAAAGAGGCGTACAGCGAGGACGGGACGGACGACCAGGACAGCAATGTGAAGATCACGTACCAGATCAACCCAGCGGCAGACCTCGAGAAGGTGGCCATGACTACCAAGCTGATGATGGACCCAAGGCCGACGCCACAATCGCTGCGGAGGGCGATGTACGCAACCTTCCTGGAGCAGGAGGCAGAAGAGGGAGACGGGCCAGCGCCGAAGGACGAGCTGACGAGGGTGGCGGAGCGCCAGCTGAAAGCGCTGCAGCAGAGGCACTAGATGTGAGAAGAGAGCGACAGCTCCTGTGCGGCTGTGGGCAGCAGATTACCACAATCCAACAGTGATGATGAATATCAGACGGGTGGCAGCGGCGGAAAGTGAGTATGCCAGACAGCTATTAGCAGGGGCGAAGAGGATGCATGAGCAACGTCAGGGGGGGCTGCGCCTAGGTAGGTAGGTCCCACCCCATGGCCGTGTGAGCGGACAGTGGTCCCCCACGCTGCAGCGGCCCTCCTTCGCTGTAGAACGACTGCGGCAGGAAGGCGCCTTAGGCCAGGTCCAGCCGTGCTCGTAAGGCTGTGCTAGGGCTAGTTTCCATATCATCGCAGAGGGCAACGGATCCCGCGAAGAGGGGCATCGACGCAGTAGCTCAGTGGCTATCGGATTGTGACGCCCTCCCAGCGCACTCATTGACTCACTCACTCACTCACTCACTCACTCACTCACTCACTCACTCACTCACTGGCTCGCTCGCTCGCTCACTCACTCACTCACTCACTCACTCACTCACTCACTCACTCACTCCTCCTCATCCTCATCCTCCTCCCCCTCCTCCTCCTCCTCCTCCTCCTCCTCCTCCTCCTCCTCCTCCTCCTCCTCCCTCCTCCTCCTCCTCTCCTCCTCCTCCTGGTCATCCTCTTCCTCCTCCTCCTCCTCCTCCTCCTCCTCTCCTCCTCCTCCTCCTCTCCTCCTCCTCCTCCTCCTCCTCCTCCTCCTCCTCCTCCTCCTCCCTCCTCCTCCTCCTCCTCCTCCTCCTCCTCATCATCATCATCATCATCATCATCATCCTCATCCTCATCCTCTCTCATCCTCATCCTCATCCTCATCCTCATCCGCATCCTCATCCTCATCCTCATCTCATCATCATCATCATCATCATCATCATCATCATCATCATCATCTCATCATCATCATCATCATCATCATCATCATCATCATCATCATCATCGTCGCCGTCGTCGTCGCCGCCGTCGTCGTCGTCGTCATCATTCATCATCATCATCAGCATCATCATCATCATCATCATCATCATCATCATCAGCATCAGCATCAGCATCAGCATCAGCATCAGCATCATCATCATCATCATCATCATCATCAGCAGCATCATCGTCGTCATCATCGTCATCATCATCATTATCAGCATCATCAGCATCATCATCATCATCATCATCATCATCATCATCAAGTTAAACATCGCTACCACCACCACAATGACTATCATGGTCGTCACCATCAGTATCATCAGCATCATCAGCATCATCATCATCATCATCATCATCATCGTCATCGTCATCGTCATCGTCATCGTCATCGTCATCATCATCAGCAGCAGCAGCATCATCAGCGACAGCATCCCCATCATCATAATCAGCATCATCAGCATCAGCATCATCCTCGTCACCAGCATCAGTATCATCATCAGAATCATCTTCATCAGCATCAGCATTAGCATCATCAGCAACAGCATCATCATCACCATCCTCGTCAGCCGCATCAGCATCAGCAGCATCTTCACCACCATCATCAGCATCAGCTTCAGTATCATCAGAATCAGCATCATCATCAGCATCATCATCGTCAGCAGCAATATCAACATCAGCATCATCATCATCCGAATAGTCATCCGCATCGTCATCATCATCATCATCATCATCACCGTCAGCATCAGCAGCATCAGCATCATCATCAGCAGCAACATCATCACCACCACAGTAACCATCACCAGCAGCAGCATCATCAGCATCAGAATCAGCATCAGAATCGTCATCATCATCACAATCAGCAGCAGCAGCATCATCATCCGCAGCATCGACATCATCATCAGAATCAGCATCATCAACATCACCATCAACATCGTCATGCTAAAAAACATCAGCATCATCAGCATCAGCATCACAACCGTCATCATCACCATCAGCATCATCAGCATCAGCAGCAGCATGATCGTAATCATGTTCAGTGGCATCATCATCAACATCGTCATCATCATCATCAGCATCATGATCATCATCAGCATCATCATCACCATCATCATCATCATCCTCATCAACATCATCAGCATGATCATCATCATCATCATCATCATCATCATCATCATCATCATCATCATCATCATCTTCATCTTCATAATCAGCATATTCACCATCATCAACAGCATCAGTATCATCATCAGCACCCCCTAGCACAAGCATTATCGACACCATCATCAGCATCACCATCCTCAGCATCTGCATCAGCATCATCAGCAGCAGCATCATCAGCATCATCAGAATCATCAGCATAGGCATCCGCATCAGCAGCCTCATCATCATCAGCATCATCATCAACATCGTCATCATCACCATCAGCAGCAACAGCAGTATCATCACCATAATCGTCCGTAGTAGTCACCATGTTCGTCATAATTCGCAACAGCAGTAACATCATCATAATCACCATCATCATCCTCATCATCAGCATCATCATCGTCATCATCATCGTCGTCATCATCAGCATCATCATCATCGTCATCATGATCATCATCATCAGCATCATCATCAGCATCAACATCATCATCATCATCATCGTCACCGTCCTCGGCCTCGTCGTCGTGATTGTCGTCGCGGTCGCCGTGGTCGCCGTCATGATTGTAGAATTTTTGATTGTCGCCGGCCTCCTCCTCATCCTAATCCTCCGCCTTCTCGTCAGCCTCCTCCTCCTCTTTCTCCTCATCCTCCTCCTCCTCCTCATCCTCCTCCATCCCTCCCTCCCTCCCTACCTCCCTGCCTCCATCCCTCCCTCCCTCCCTCCCCTCCCCCCCCCCTCCTCTCTCCCCCTCCTCCTTCCTCCCTCCCGCCCTGCCTCCCTCCCTTCTCCCTACCTCCCTCCCTCCTTCCCTCCCTCTTCCTCCCGCCCTCCATCCCGCCCTCCCTCCCTCCCCCCTCCTCCTCCTCCTCCGCCTCCTCCTCCGCCTCCTCCTCCTCCTCGTCCTCCTCCTCCAGACGGGCTGTCGGAGCGGAACTTAGACATGTTGGCCTCTTTGGGCACCCGATGTGCTTCACTGTGGAGTTCCTTCATTCTCGGTGGGGGCTTTAACTGTTCTCCTGGGGTCCTGGTCAAGTCGAAGTTTGTGTCAGAGCTGCAGGGCCAGCTGGTGGACTCTGGAGATTATACTCACTTCGGCGAGGGCCCTCCCTCGAAGCTTGACTGTTGTGTGTGAAGCAGTGGCTTAGGTTAGGCGGTGGCGTCATGTAAGGTGGTTTTCGACACCGACCTGAGCCCAGATCGCCCCGTCGACCTTCGTCTGCACCCTGCCCCTGCGGTCTTGAAGGCCTTGAGCTTTCGCAAGCCTCCTCCTTTTCCTTCGGATCCTGCTGCTGGGCACAGGCCCCAGCAGCAGTGTTGGGATGGTGTGCTGGACATGGCTCAGGAAGGTGTGAGAGCGGTGGGGGAGGGGGAAGGGACTGAGGCTGCTCTACGTTTAACCAGAGCCTGCGGGGCCTGAGCAGACGCCACCGAGAACGAGCTTATCCCGCTCCTCGGCGCTGACTTGCTCAAGAAAGGCACGAGAAGTGCTGGCCCTCAGCTGATGCGGCGATCTGCGGTGAGTAGGGACGGGGCGCCCAGGTACCCGGTTCACAGAGCTATCAAGTGGCTTGGGGCCCAGTTCAAGGGTATCCTCGGTCTGCAGAGAGACAACCGAGGCGATGATTCGCAAGCGAAGGCCATACATGCTTCCCTCTTGTGTCGGCCTGCATCGGTCGAGGCCCGCACCTTTGACAGAGGCGCCAAGCGCGTTCCCGTCACCATGCGGAGCCCTACGCCTGGGAGGCCAACGACCACGCCGGCGTCGGACTGTTGGATTGTGGCTGGTCCTCTAGTATCTAAGGGAGGTGGTAAGTTTAATTCATTTTGGGTCGGAACCCGGGTCAGGCCAAACCCATCACCTCGGTCCAAGCTCTCCCCAGGGCTTCTCCTGATCAACGTCGAGCCGTGTCTAAGAAATACAAGAAAGATCTGCCGTCGCGTATGGTGAGTTCGACAATAGACACTATCATTTGCTGTGCGATGACGGGCTCGTGGCCCTCAGCATGCTTTCTGAGTTGACGGAGTCGGTAGATATTCTTCCGAGTCCATTAATCACGAAGTGCGGCCCGTCACGCAGACCAGCTGTGGAAATGAAACGCCCACACCTGTGCGCATACAAGGACAAACGAGTGATGACAGTCGGGAACACGTGTCTTCTGCATTGATATTCAAGAGCGTCGAGGTTAATTGTTCCATCCTCCTTGAGCATGCCATAGAACACGCTAGCACTGCATTCCTTTCGAGCGGTCCCCGCTTCAGCTCGTATAGACTGGCGCCAGACTACGTCCGAAGCTCCTCGGTGAGCCCCTGCAGCCCAGTACCGACGGGGGTGTTCCTGCTCCCCGGATAGGGCATCCAGCCGACTGGTTGCCCAGACCAGCTAGTGAAAGTACGGAGGTTCTCCTGTATGAATGGCACAACACCGAGCTCATGAGCCCCGAAGGCCCCAGGGTTCCAGTCAATAGCGAGATGTGGGGCCACCTGTTCATCGATGGACCCTACCCGAGGCATCATGTCAAGGAGTTGTCCAGAGCTGCGTGATGTGCTTCAATGAATTCGGATGATGGGGAGTGCCTTGGGGAGGTGAGAGGCCCTGTGTGGGCACAGTTCCCACAGTTCCCACAAGCGGCCGAGTTCTCGGCGAGGTGCGTGGTGGACTAGTCCCACTAGCCCTCTGGGCGTAGGTGGTTTAGGGAGTTTCCTCTTCCACCCCTCCTTCTTCCCCTTCGGGGAGGGGTTATCACTGTTCCCTATTACTAAACACCCCCTCCCCCAGGCGACTGGGGGGCCAACCCAGGTCCATGACAACACCCCCCACAATCCCTTGCAAAACACAATACAAAACACACTCGGCCTCCAAATTCGGAACATGCGCAGCCAACCCGATGCGCCCCCCCCACCATCCCTGTCAAAAAAACAATAC